GCAGCCGCCGGGAGCTGTCAGCTGCCCGGAGTTGGTGCCAGCTCTCCGCCGTGGTGTTCATGGGCAGCGGTGACAACCAGCGCGCGACGGGACTGTGGCTGGGGATGGGCAGGGATGGACGCAGGTGTGAGCTCTGCAGTGGCCTCCTCCCAGCACGCTGCGTGACGTGCTGGCAGAGCGGTCTCACGCGTTCAGGTTCTCTGCATCTGAGGGAGGTGACACAGTGAAATTAGGAACGGAGACCAGGGCGTTAGAGGTGTGGTGCAGCTCAGAGACATCAGGCAAGGATTAACTCGGGGGGATTAGGGGCCTGAGCCCCGTTGGCTCCACCGGTGCAGTACGTGCTCTCCAGGCTCCGGACACAGTCCTGAGCAGTGTCCCCACCCCGCTCAGCCCAGGGCCGCTCCCACCCCGGGGGCTTTGAGAGCTTTTTTCTCCCAGTGTCACCAGCTCCGACCTTGTTTGCTTTGAGCCTCCGCGTCACACTGAGCCGTGATGAAGTTCCCTTCGGGAACAGGAGGCTCAGCATTACCCTGAGAGCTGGCTGAGAACTGAGCAGTGTTAAAAGCCAGCAATGCTAAAGAGATTTTCAGATTTTTTTTCCAAAGAAGAGATAGTTCAGACAGAATGCCATTGCCCCGATCTGTAACCTCCCTGAGCAGTTGTTCCTGCCCTCTACCAGTGCCTGGCTACAGAGCGAGCGCAATCTGGGGAAGGAAAGGTTAAGTGAAACGGGTTTTAAAGCATCTTCCTGTAGATAGGTGAGGAGACAAAGCATCTTCAACAGACGGCTGCAGACAGCCCTGGCTGTTGATGCTTTTTCTGCTCTCGGAAGCACAATTTTGTTGGGACCAAATCAAACAGGGGGAAAAGCCATTTTTTCGGAAGGGGTATTTTCATTCCTGGGTTCCCGGACCTGGGATGAACCCAGGGGTGGTGACTGCCCTGTCCCCACCCTGCCCTAGCCCTCCCGACTCCCCGTGGCTGGAGACTGAGCTTAGGTGGCCCTCTGGGCGGAACCAGTGTAGCTTCACTAATTGCTCTGGGGCGTTTCTCAGTATCAGCTTTGTAACTATGCATTAGCTCTGCACTTTTCTCACACTCCGAGGCACCTGCAGGGAAGACAGACTCGCACCTGGCAGTGCTTTCAGCTCCAGAAAGTGCCCAAGGTTCCAGGCAGCACCAGAGACCGAGCGCCCGCCTTCCCCGGCTCCAGCGCAGAC